AAGGAGCCTATACTTGCATGCCTCCAAGCCTTGTTTCAGGCATTTTTTGGCATTTTTTAGGACCTGCATAAGCTCTATCTAGAGCTGATTTTGTCATATTGGATGTCCACCTTGCATGTGTAGAACAATCCTCTTCATAGCTTATCAAAGGAGCATGTCATTCTTGCATGCATTGACCATGTTTCAGTGGATTTTTGGGCTTTATTTGGCATGTCATACCTCTATCTTATGCTGGTTTAGTGGCCTCTTGAATGCTTCACATGCTTGTAGTGTAAATCCTCTTCACTAGCTTGTAATGCATGTTGTTTTGGCCTTTGATTCTAGCATATTTTGGCCATGTTCTAAACTGATTTTGTACATGTTTTGGACTGCCTTAGCTCTGTTTTTAGGCCTCATGGTCGAATGATGTTTTCTATGCATGGTTGTAGTGCAATACCCTTGCCTAGCTTTGAGTTTTGAAGCATATTACATGCTTATATTGAGGTGTTTGCATGTTTTGGGGTCTTTGAGCATGTCATTTCAGAGCCTATACTTGTGCCATATTCCCATGTTTTTCACTCTTTAAATGTGTTTGAGAGTCGTGCTTAAATATCTCATTTATAGACCATTGCATGAGCTTCATTTCTATGCATTTTGAGCCATCATTTTAGACCATTTTCCCACTGTCTTGGACCTGCATAGGGACTGTTTGGGGCTGCTTGGGTCATTTGAGCATTGCTTTGTGTACCTCTAGTGTAATGCACTTCACTAGTTTCGGTATTCGGGCCATCTAGCATGCATTGTGTGACGTGTTTACATGATTCGGGAACATCTTGCATGTCATTTCAGAGCTGAAAAATGTGTGATTGTATGCCATATTTCATCCCTTGCCATGCTTTGGTAGAGTTGCATTTGATGCCTTAGGTTTGGTCCCTTGTATTTGTGCATATTTGCATGTGTTTTTGCTGCCTAATTTCATCATGTTTGGCCACTGATTTGAGTGTGGCTGAGGTCCATCCATCTCGGTTTAAGTCCATCTTGCATTGCATATGCCATATAGTCCATGTTGTTGCATGATTGACCATTGCATTGTGTATGCCTTGATCATCTCATTGATAGTCTCCATGTGTGCATTGCGTATGCCATATAGTTTTCATGGGCATTGAGTATGCCATTGATTATTTCATAGCATTGTGCATGCTAGTAGCATGTTTGCATATCATCATTTACATGTTTGCATCATTTAGTGGCATTATGTTTAGGTTGCATGTTAGAATTGCATTCATGCATGCCATGTGTATTGCATTGTGTTTGGAGTAGGGTTTAGTCCAAACACGGGAAACGAGGGACGTTTCGTACTCCAAGTGACGAAACGTGCCTCGATTCTCGGTCACCGACACTCCGGATTACCCATGATGGAGTTTAGGCCTTATTGTGTTCATTTGTGCATCCATTTGACATTGAGTCATGCAATTCGACTCCTCGGCCATCATGTATCAAGATGCGTGATTGGTGACACGAGGATCAAGGACTACACTCCCTAGAGCTTATGCAATGACGGGGAGAGTGGTCGTGCACACATATGTTGAAAATACTTTGCCATGCCCCTTTCTTGCTCTCTATTGCAGCAAACCGAAAGCCAACAGCAAAAACTAGTCGGTAGTATCCCTACAGCATGTTGGAGTTTCAGCCTTTTGGAGTTTTATTCAGTATTCTGGGACCAGTTGCAAACAGAGGCAAATCGGGGCATCACGATGGATTTTCCGGCAAGGTGACTCGAGCATGCATGCATTCCTTGTCATTCAAGACCGAGCGGAGGCAGTCCATTTCATATGTTTTGCATGCTAGCTTATTTATTCTAGTTAATTTGTTAATTAATTAGGGATGTGTAATAATTAACTGTAATTCGTTATTCATTCAGTTGTGTATTATTTATTCGGACCCTCCGAGGAGGGCAATGTTGTAATATGTGTGCGTGTGTGTGATATATGTCTTCCAACCCCACGTCTTTCTCCCTTTTATTTACCAACTTATGATGGTTACTTTTAGGGCACATTTAAATTAGCATCCTTATGCTCATATGTTTGCATCTATTCATCTGTCTTGCATGCACCGGGCTCGGCGCATCATGCTAACTGCATTGTATTTCAATTCCAAGTTGAATATATGTATCGATTGTTGTATCTCATGTGCCATCTTAGAATAGCTGAGCCTATCGTAGTTGCATTTTTGCATGTGTTGCATTAGGCATTCTTAGTATAGTTAGGATTCATGCATGTTTTCTAATTAGCTTCTTTCTTTGGCTTGGAGTACTCGGTAAGTGTTTATGCTTTAGCATCCGTGCATGTCTGTGAGTGACTGCCACAATAGCATGCTTGCCATGAGGCTATGTGCTTATGTGATATAACTGCCTGAATGCCTGTGGGTGAAGGTTAGGTTGCTTGAATTGGAATAATTTGTCGTGTTTTAGCCTACTTGTGAGTAGCAAACTTCAATCCATTTTCAAAACAAAACGGATATGCGATGCTTTGTTCCAAATTAGGCAATCTAGTCTATACTTGTATGCCGTGTGCATCACATAGTAATTCTAGGCTAATAACCGGAATAAGGGCACATAATGTTTTCAAAACTTGATATCATGGTTAGTAGAGGCCGATCTTTGATCGGGCGAGCGGGGGTGCTCACGAAGTGACCTTCTCCAATCGTACCCAAGTTCCCGAGCCGAGGCAACTTTGGTGATGACGGACACGTGGCCTTAGGCACGAGTCAGGGTTTCCTAAATTCTCCCAAAATAAAATATTTAGGTGACGACTATGTATCTGGCAAAGCAGTCCATGTTTGGCACTTCTTTCTAAAAAATCAGTTTTTCAAAACAATTTGCCGGATTTGGACTCTTTGATGATTCATCGGTCTTGCATTACACTCTACGAGATTAGATACATGACCGTGACATTGAGTCCTGAACTGTAGTAAGCCCAAATGAACAAAACGGGATTCCCTCTCGGGACGTTCGGGGACGTCTACATCCATTTTGCGTACTGGACCCTCGAATAGTTTTAGAATTTGTATTTTATGCCCATTAATGTGTGTAAAATTCATTTGAAGTGAAATGAATCCGAAAATGATTCACAAAGAGAATGAACTAATTTTCAAGTTATAAACGTGTGCAAGACACACTCCGTGAGGAACTAGTACGTCGTCACAACACAGTGAGTAGTAGATTTACTACAGCTAATGTTTGCCATTAGCATTCTGTTAATTATGTAACTATGTGAATGATTCCAAGAATGAGCATAACTAATGAAAAGGATGAAACTACTTTCATACGATTATGGAATTCTGGGCCTATGGCCATTCTGTTTAAGTTGCTATGATATGAAACAAAGTATTACACGGAACTAAGTGCTACGATGTGAGTCACCTCTAGAATCCATGTGAGACACCTCTTGGGTTCATATGCAAGGGCTCAATGCCAACATGTGTAAGGGCTAAATGCCAATGTATTCAAGGGCTCAATGCCAACATGTTTAAGGGCTTAATGCCAATATGTTCAAGGGCTTATTGCCACTCCATTCAAGGGCTTAAAGCCATTATGTTTCAAGATTAGGCCCAAGGTCGTTCTGAAATTAGTACAGAATCAGATTAAACATGTAATCTCTGCATTTACATACGCATTGAATTGTATTATGATTTAAGTTGAACATCAATTATACAAGTATTACTATTCACTGAGCCTGACTCACTTTGTGTTATGTCTCCTTCTGTAGGTAACCAACCAGGAGGTCAGTCCTAACCCATGAAGTCAATTCTCTTTGGTCGACCTTTACGAGTCCAGGCCCTAAATGAAGCCACTTTCATTTTTGTGAAGTTTTGTTAAGATGATGACTTGTACCTTAATTTTTGTGTAGGGTTGAAAGTACATAACTTCTTTAACCCAATGTTTTTGTTACGCCCAAATGTAGGGTCGGGTCTGTATATGTATATGTATATAACCGATGCTCAGGTGCATGTTTTGGTGTATTATTTATCTGTTATGATGTTTGTGATCTTGGCATAGTAGTGATAGCTCAATGGAGTTTGTTTTTGTAATTTTATAATATTGAATGCTTCCATCAAGGCCCCATATGTTATGTATATCAGGTTAAATGTCCGTTTCTGAATAGGTCATGCCCAAACTTTTAGGGGCGAGTTTGAGGCGTGACAAGTGGTATCAGAGCACGAGTTGCTATCTCACACACGGATCCATTAAGCTGTAGGGTGTCTAGAAAAGACTTAGGCATTATGCATGACATCCTGAAAGTATATGAAAAGATCGATGGCAACGTTAAGTGTACTCTGATAATACTAACAATTGTGAACCATGTCTATTGTATATACTTGATTGTTGTGCAGACTATGGTGAGAACAAGGACAGAAGATCCGGAAGATGCTACTTCTGCACGGTTGGATAGGATGGAGCGAATGATTATAGAAATGGTAGAGACCCTACGGCAACAACAGCAACAGCCACAACATCAACCGCCACCGCCACCGGTACCTCCACCGGCAATACAAGACTTCCAAGCGAAAGACCAAACCATTACCCTTACTAAAGAGTTAAAAAGATGAAACCGCTGTTATTTCAAGGAGGAATAGAACCAATGAAAGCTGAAGCATGGGTGCTGGGAATAAAGAAGTTATTCGAAGTTTTCCCTTGTACCGAAGCTCAAAAGGTGCAACTGGCTGCCTTCACTCTTGAGGACGAGGCACAGAGATGGTGGAAGCTTACGAGAACTACACATCAAGGATTGACATGGGACAGATTCTTGGAATTATTCTATGATAAGTATTTTCCACAAAGTATGCGAGATAAGAAGGTGACTGAATTTGAAATTCTTAAACAAGGAAACAAGACCGTTGCTGAATATGAAGCCTGATTTGCAGAGCTAGCCCGGTTTGCACCTCATATGGTAGACACGGATTAAAAGAAGGCACGAAAGTTCGAAGGGGGATTACGGGGTGCTATCTTAGACCGAGTTAATATGTTGAAGTTACCCACTTATGTTGATGTGTTGGAAAGGGCTGCTATAGTGGAAGGAAATATTGCGGCTCAGAACCGAATTTCCGAGTGGAAAGGGAAAAGGCAAAACAGTCAATGGTCAAAGGGGACAACTACTCCACCAAACAAGAAACAAAATTCAGGGACGTCAAGTGCTTCTACCCCTAGTCAAGATTCAATTCCTGTTTGTTTGGAATGTGGAAAGAAGCATCGTGGAACGTGCTATCAGAAGTCCGGAGCCTGTTTTCAGTGTGGTAAAACGGGCCACTTGATAAAAGATTACCCTTAGAGAAAGAAACAAAATGGCAATAGGGCTGCTACCAGTTCAGCAAGGTCTACACCACCTACCAACACTAAGTCAGCTGCCAAGCCTACTAATAATAAAGACACTGCGAGACAAGGCAGGGTGTTTACATTGGTTCCGGGAGATGTGCATAATGCGGCAACAGTGGTGTCAGGTACATTTATGGTTCATGGTCATTCTGCTTATGTATTGTTTGATTCTGGCTCCACCCACTCTTTTGTGTCGAAACTATTGGCTCCTAATCTAGATAAAACTGAAGAAAAATTGTCTTATATGTTGTGTGTGTCTTCACCTATGGGAGACTCTATGATATGTGCTTCTATTTATTTAGCTTGTGAACTCCAACTTGGGGATATTCGGATATATGCTAATTTGTTACCTCTCGGCATGACGTGTTTTGATATTGTTCTGGGAATGGACTGGTTGAGTGAATATGGTGCAACTATAGACTGCTTAACGAAGCAAATTAGTTTCCACCCTCCGGGACAATCAGAATCTACTTTTCAAGGTCAGGGAGTGGCCTTTCCACCATATTTGATTTCTGCAGCAAAGGCTTGTAAACTCATTCAGAAAGGGTGCCAAGGGTATTTATGCAGTGTTTTGGAAGGGCAGGTGATGGGCGGAAGTACCGACATGATTCCAATTGTCTGTGAATTTTCGGATGTTTTTCCGGAAGAATTACTGAGGGAATTAGTGAACCGAGAAATTGAATTTACCATTGAAGTGATACCGAGAACCCAACCTATCTCCAAGACTCCATACAGAATGTCACCAGCTGAAATGAAGGAATTAAAGATTCAGTTGCAGGATTTACTTGATAAGGGGTTCATTCACCCGAGTGTGTTGCCTTGGGGTGCACCAATTCTGTTTGTGAAAAAGAAAGACGGAACACTCCGATTATGTATAGACTACAGGGAGCTTAATAAAGTGAAAATCAAGAATAAGTACCCATTGCCACGGATCGACGATCTATTTGACCAACTACAAGGGGCACAAGTCTTTTCAAAGATTGATTTATGATCCGGATACCACCAATTAAAGGTCAAAACTGATGATGTCGAGAAGACAGCTTTTCGAACCTGGTACGAGCATTATGAATTTATGGTTATGCCCTTTGGAGTAACTAACGCACCAGCAGCATTTATGGATTTAATGAACCGTGTTTTTAAGCCCTATTTGGATGAGTTTGTGGTGGTCTTTATTGATGATATCCTCATTTACTCAAAGAATGTGGAAGCTCATGAGAACCATCTTCGCTTGATCCTTCAGACCCTCAGGGAAAAGAAATTGTATGCAAAGCTGAAGAAATGTGAATTTTGGCTACAGGAGGTGGCATTTCTGGGGCATATTATAACAAAGGAAGGAGTTTCTGTTGACCCACACAAAATTGAGGCGATCGTGAATTAGCCAACTCCCACTAATGTGATTGAGGTGCGTAGCTTTATGGGATTAGCTGGATATTACAGAAGGTTCGTTCAAGATTTTTCCAAAATCACAGTATCGCTTACACAACTGACTCGAAAGGGAGTTGCATTTGAATGGTCTGTAGAGTGGGAATCTGCTTTCCAGGAATTGAAAACAAAGTTAACTACAGCACCAGTGCTGGCCTTACCATCTGGAACTGAAGGGTTTGTAATCTACAGTGATGCTTCGCATAAAGGGCTTGGTTGTGTACTTATGCAAAATGGAAGGGTTATCACTTATGCCTCTCGACAGCTGAAACCCCGTGAGAAGAATTATCCCACGCATGATCTTGAGCTAGCAGCAGTAGTCTTTGCTTTGAAGATATGGAGACACTATCTGTATGGCACTACCTGCGAAGTTTACACCGACCATAAGAGTCTCAAGTATCTTTTTACTCAAAAAGAGTTGAACATGCGGCAGCGACAAAGATTATGACTTGCAGATCCATTACCATCCTGGTAAAGCCAACACAGTTGCAGACGCGCTTAGTCGGAAGACTATGGGAAATTTGGCAAATTTGATTACAAGGCAAAAGGAACTAGCAACTGAACTGGTTAAAATGGAAGTAGACCTTGTACTACATAGGCAAGAAGTTGTAATGGCAGCAGTGATGGCTCAACCAACCCTACTTGAGGAGATTAAATTACATCAAATGGAAGATGAAACTCTAAAGAAGACATGCGGAGATTTAGAGACAAAACCAAAATCGGGATTCAGTTTAGTAGACTCAGTGCTCAAATTTCAAAATCGAATATGTGTCCCAATGTGTTAGAACTTAAACAGAAACTGATGGAAGAAACACATACTTCAAGATTTTTAGTGCATCCAGGGAGTACTAAAATGTACTGAGATTTGAAGCAAAATTTCTGGTGGCCAAGTATGAAGAAGGAGATCGAAGAGTTCGTCTCTAAATGTTTGCAATGTCAACAAGTAAAAGTGGAGCATCAGAGACTAGCAGGTTTGTTACAACCCCTTCCAATCCCAGAATGGAAGTGGAAACATCTGATCATGGATTTTGTTGTGGGGTTACCACAGACTCCTCGGGGTATGAATTCAATATGGGTCATTGTAGACCGATAAACTAAGTCCGCTCACTTCCTACCAGTGAAGACTCAGTATAATGCAGATAAACTGGCGGTAATTTATGTGAATGAAATTGTAAGGCTTCATGGTGTTTCGGTCTCAATTGTGTCAGATAGGGATCCAAAGTTTGTTTCCAGAATTTGGCAAAGTCTGCAGGAAGAAATGGGTACAGAATTGAAGTTCAGCATAGCTTTTCACCCTCAGACTGACGGTCAATCTGAGAGAACGATACAGACTCTGGAAGATATGCTCCGAATGTGTGTGCTAGATTTTCAAGAAAGTTAGGAAACCCATCTACCGTTGGTAGAGTTTGCGTACAACAATAGTTACCATTCAAGTATTGAAATGGCACCCTATGAAGCACTGTATGGAAGACCGTGTCGTTCTCCCGTGTGTTGGGCTGAAGTTGGAGATAAATCCTTGCTAAGGCCTGAAATTGTTCAGTTGACAACTGAAAAGGTTAAAATTATTCGGGAAAGGTTGAAAACTGCTCAAAGTAGGCAGAAAAGTTATGCAGATAACCGATGAAGGGATTTGGAATTTGAAGTGGATAGCCATGTCTTTGTAAAGGTCACCCCGATAAAAGGACACCCAAGATTCGGGAAAAAGGGTAAGTTAACACCCCAATATGTTGGTCCCTTTCAAATTTTGGAAAAAGTGGGTCCGATAGCTTATCGGGTAGCTCTCCCGCCAAATATGAGTCAAGTACATAACGTGTTCCATGTTTCTATACTTCGAGGATACCTTTCGGATCCGTCACATGTCGTTGATTACCACCAAATTGAGTTGAATGACAAGCTAACTTATGAGGAAAAACCAATTCGAATTCTGGACCGGCAAGTGAGACAGTTACGAAATCGCGAAATTCCAATAGTAAAGGTTGAATGGCAAGAACATTACGGAACCGAAGCTACTTGGGAAAAAGAAGAGGAAATGCAACACTGATATCCGCATCTATTTCCGTTTTAAGGTAAAAACAAGTTTGAGGGACGAAACTTATTTAAGGGGGGGAGAGTGTAATAACTCGACCCTCGTATGTGCTTCTGTGCAATATTTCAGTCCCTTATTTTGTGCATTTAAATGCTTAATGTAAGCCTTCATGAGAAATTAAGTTTAAGTACATGGATCTTATGATTAGAGATCTAGATCTGTTTGGTAAAAAAAGAACATCTGTCATAATGGAAATGTTTGGATCTAAAATTGAGAGCCTAGAGACTTGATAGTCTGAAACTGATTTGACATTTGAGATCTGTATAATTTTTAAGCTATTATATGACTTTCTGTGAAAATTTAATTCGGAATGCTTAAATTGATTAAATTTTGTCCTTACTCACCTTTTTATATATCTATGTTCTAACTTTGACTTAGAAGCCTCAATTTAAGGAAACAACTTGAGAGAGAGAGGGTAGAGAAGGATTTGAGAGGAGTTCTTCAAGGAAGGAATTGGGGGAAATTAGGAGGTTGTAGGGGATTTGACTCAAGGTATGTTTACTCCTTTTTGTTTTTTTTTAATTAACCCCTCTCCCTCTCTTTGATTAGAGAAGGAATTTCTCTAGATGTTATGCTAAGTGGTTACTTGAGTTGTTATTTCATGTATTGAATTGATTTGGGTTTGTGTTTTGATTCAACTTGAAGTACCTATGAGAAGATACACTCTATTCCTTCAATGGATTTGGTTGAATTTCATGATATGGCATAATTGTATGCATATATGTCTATGTGTGAATGTAAAGCTAGAAATCTCATGAAAGTGAGTGTATTTATGAGTTTAACATTAAGAATCTAAGTTATGTTAATTGATGTATGTATTTTGACTTCAAATTATATGAATTTGGGACCTTGTACTAGCAATTTATGATTAGGTTTTGAGGTTCTAAAATACCTACAAAAAATGGAACCTTGTTGAATTTCGGACTGTGTAGATTGTGCCAATCGCCGCACGTGCGGGAGTCATGGCCGCACGTACGGGAACCCCAGCCGTACGTGCAGGGGTCATGGCCGCACATGCGAGAAATGGTGCAATTTTGGGCTTTGAACACTGCTAGAAAGGCACGTGCAGGGCATCACTGCTGCACGTGCGAGGGTATTTGCCGTACGTACGGGGCTCACAGCCGCACGTGCGGCCCATGCTGAGAAGTACTGTTTGCTCCGTTTTACATACTGGACCCTCGGATATTTTTAGAATTTGTATTTTATGCCCATTAATGTGTGTAAAATTCATTTGAAGTGAAATGAATCCGAAAATGATTCAACAAAGAGAATGAACTAATTTGCAAGTTATGAACATGTGCAGGACACACTCCAGGAGGAACTAGCACGTCGTCACAACACAGTGAGTAGTAGATTTACTACAGCTAATGTTTGCCATTAGCATTCTATTAATTCTGTTAATTATGTAACTATGTGAATGATTCCAAGAATGAGCATAACTAATGAAAAGGATGAAACTACTTTCATACGATTATGGAATTCTGGGCCTACGGCCATTCTGTTTAAGTTGTTATGATATGAAACAAAGTGCTACACGGAACTAAGTACTACGATGTGAGTCACCTTTAGAATCCGTGTGAGACACCTCTTGGGTTCATATGCAAGGGCTCAATGCCAACATGTGTAAGGGCTAAATGGCAATGTATTCAAGGGCTCAATACCAACATGTTTAAGGGCTTAATGCCAATGTATTCAAGGGCTCAATGCCAACATGTTTAAGGGCTTAATGCCAATATGTTCAAGGGCTTATTGCCACTCCGTTCAAGGGCTTAAAGCCATTATGTTTCAAGATTAGGCCCAAGGCCGTTCTGAAATTAGTACAAAATCAGATTAAACATGTAATCTCTGCATTTACATACGCATTGAATTGTATTATGATTTAAGTTGAACATCAATTATACAAGTATTACTATTCACTGAGCCTGACTCACTCTGTGTTATGTCTGCTTCTGTAGGTAACCAACCGGGAGGTCAGTCCTAACCCATGAAGTCAATTCTCTTTGGTCGACCTTTACGAGTCCAAGCCCTAAATGAAGCCACTTTCATTTTTGTGAAGTTTTGTTAAGATGATGACTTGTACCTTAATTTTTGTGTAGGGTTGAAAGTACATAACTTCCTTAACCCAATGTTTTTGTTACGCCCAAATATAGGGTCGGGTCTGTATATGTATATGTATATAACCGATGCTCAGGTGCATGTTTTGGTGTATTATTTATCTGTTATGATGCTAGTGATCCTGGCATAGTAGTGATAGCTCAATGGAGTTTGTTTTTATAATTTTATAATATTGAATGCTTCCGTCAAGGCCCTGTATGTTATGTATATCAAGTTAAATGTCTGTTTCTGAATAAGTCATGCCTAAACTTTTAGGGGCGAGTTTGAGGCGTGACAAAAAACATGCTGAGATGGACTCAAATCGAGCTAGAATAACATGTTACTTCATGAAGCATACAAAGCTAGTTTGAGAGATTTACACTACAAGT